GGTCCATAGTAATTTATTTTGCAACATCCCAGACATTTGCTTATTATATTATTATTATTATTATTATTATTATTATTACTATTATTATTATTATTGTTATTATTATTATTATTATTAAATGCTGTAACTGGTATGAACCAGTGAGTGTGTTATTAGCAAACTATGACAGCTGATTTTCCTGACTGCTCCTCATCCAGCAATCAAGACCGGCTTTAAAACTGTTAACTGTTTTTGAATTAACCAAATCGTTCGGCAAGCTATTAAATAAATAGGCTAATCTGTTAAAGAAAAAGTTTTCTCGATAAGCTTGCTTAGTGATTTCTTTTACATATTTAAACCGGTGACCTCTTGTTTGAGTTTGTTGAAAATTATTATTTTTTTGTTTCTAATTTGTTGAAACCGTTAAAGATCTTAAAAAGTTGAATTATGTCTCCTCTCTTTTTTCTATTTGTTAAAGTAATTAAGTCAAGAGCTTTTAGACGATTCTCATAGTTGATTTTCTTGAGTGATGGTATTAGTCGAGTTCCACGATGTTGAACTCTTTCCAGTAAGTCAATTTCACCCTTTTGATTTGGTGACCAAACGAGTACTGCAAATTCTAATAGTGGCCTGATAAAAGATACATAAAGTGATCTCAGTAGCCTAATATCTAAACGAACAAAGCATTTTCTAATCATACCCAACATTTAATTAGCTTTGCCTACACATGACATCACTTGATTTTTCCAGTTTAGGTTGTTTGAAATTACTCCTAGATCTCTTTCAGATTCTGTTACGTTTAATTTTTGTTTACTGATATAAAGTGGTGTTTTTCTATTATTAATCCCATAGTGCATAACCTTGCATTTAGAATTATTTAAATTTCAAGCCACTCTTGAGTCCACTTAAAAGCTCTATCAAGATCTGCTTGCAAAGACACTGTTGATTCGTAGAAGATCCTTTCATTCATTATTTTAGCGTCATCAGCGTACTGTATAGATATGTTTTTTAAGGTTTCAGGAAAATTGTTAATAAATAGCACGAACAAAAATGGTCCAATTACGGAACCCTGTGGCACACCGCTGATAATTTCTGCTCAAGAAAATACATTTTCGCCTAGCACAACTCTTTATTTTCTACTTTTCAGAATAGCTTCAATCCATTTAATTGTTAGACCAGATATTCCATAAGCTGCTAGTTTTAGTAAGAGCCTTTTATGGGGCACTGTGTCAAATACCCTAGCAAAATCCAAAAAATAACATCAACAGGTTTACCATTTTCTAAATTGGTGGAAATAAATCTAGTGTATCAAGTAGATTTGTTGTGCATGATTTACTTTTAACAAATATATATATTATATATATATATATATATATATATATATATATATATATATATATATATATATATATATATATATATATATATATATATATATATATATATATATATATATATATATATATATATATATATATATATATGTATTTTTTTTTTTTTTTTCTGTCAATGACAAAGTAACGTATTATTTTTAGTAAAACAGAAGAAATTTTCTTAAAATTATTTTAATCATTTTAACGATTTATTTTTTTGAAAACATGCACTTATTTAGTTGGTGTCAGTGAAGACCTCAACGTTACAAGTGCAAGTCAATTAGCGACATCTCATTGATGAAATTTTGTAAAAGTTATGCACTAAAAGCGTAAAAAAAGTTGGTTTTTCTAAATTTTTGCACGTTACTGTATATATGTGACGAATTTTGATTGATTAATGGACCAAAAATTTTGGTAAGTTATTTTTTCAACTTTAGTCTACGCATTCTTTATACTGTGTTATGGAATGAAACCAGCTCTCCTATTTTATGCAACCGTAACACCAAAAACTCACACCATTTTTTACTATATCAAGAAATTCATAAGTCACAATGAATCCTTTTTGGAGACCTATAATAATCAATCCTGTGAAATTAGTCGCCATATTTTCGCCAACATTGATCAAGGTATAAATTAAACATTATCATCTAGAGTAAAAATAAAATTTGTTGAACTGCATAATCAATCTAAAAAGTAAAAAAACTTAAAAAAACTGCAAGCAGAATCTGATTTATCAGCATTAAAACATTGTTTACAGTTTATAGTCAGGGCCGGCGCGAACACGTTATTATTATTTATTTTTTTAGGAAAGGGGGGGGGGGGGAATGCCGAATAACTTTTCTTCGTTATTATTGTATGTAATCATTTTAATATAATTGTTAATAAGTAAAGTAACCAAAATTAAGCATTATTTTAACAATATTAAAATTCTTATTAAAAAAAAAAGACATTTTTTGAAGAATTTCTTTGAAACAGGTATAGAAATATCCTAGTAAATATTGATTCTCCGTTGTTTTACTGACGCCCATCTTTCAACAACCTTTTTTAAATCAATTTTGTGCATTATATCTTTATTAGTATTAAGAAGCATCATATTTTGAAGTCGATTAACGTGCATTGTGGATCTTAAATAGTTTTTTATCAGCTTTAGTTTCCTAAATGATCGTTTATTTGATAATGTACTTATGGGTGCTGTTAACATTAATCTAAATATTTTATTTATAGTTGGTAGAACTTTTTTATGCATTTCTGATAAATTAAAAATATCTAATAAACTGAAATGTCTTTACAAAAATGAACCAGCACTAGAAACTCAGAATAAATTCCTTCATAATCATTTATCTTAGATACATCATATCCTGAAACAAATAGTTTAAATAGTTAATTATTTGAAAGACATCTACTAAGAATTTGGTAGATAATGGTGCTTTTATTAAATTAAATAACGGTTTAATAGTTGAAATACATTTTTTTTAAATGCTCAGAAGACAAAAAAACTTGTATCTAAAACCATTTTGAACTCTGATCTATAAAGTATACAAAAATTAAATTTTGTCTCCGAATTCGGATTATAATCTATGTTTTTTGGCAACAGTCACCTTTTATGAACTTGTTTAAAATCAGATTCAAGATCATTACTTAATTGAAGTGCAGAACTTATTGAACTTTTAGATAAATTTTCCATTGCCATATTGTCCTTATTAATACTGTTAAAAATCTGAGTGGAACTGTTTAGCAACATAAAAGCATCAACTATGTTAAGATCTTTGGCTTCAAAGTTTTCAGTAAGAATTTTCATTTTGTACATAATATTTTTCATAAAATACAAGGATACTATTAAGTCAAATGTCAGCATTTTTTAGATGATTCTAAGGCTTGAGCTCTAGTACTTTTATCTAAATTGAGATCAGTTGACATATCTACTAGAGTATTTATAAATGATTCTAATGAAACCCATACAGATTTTATCGAGTCAGCTCAAGCTGTCCATTTTGTTTTTGATAAATTATGGAGCTGTAAAAATTTTTCAATCAATTCTAAACGTTTTTGTAAATGTCCATATCTCTTATTACTGGAAGAGAAAAAAACATACAATTGTTCCAACACAGAAAAAAAATCACTAACTATTAGACTGGCATCACAGCTATGCTCAAGGAATGTTTTAATTCTATGGGCCTGACAAGGTATAAATGGAATTGGGCAACCAAAAAGATCTAATTTTTGTTATGTTCCATTTGTTTTGCCAGACATACTACTAGCAAAATCATGACTGAAAAACAAGATTTTGTGTGAATAATTTATTTTTAATAAAAACAGTTTGAATTAATGCCTAGTCCAGTTTTGTCTACATATTTAACTATTTCTAATAATCTTTCTGATAGCTCCCCAAAATTATTAACACACCAAATACAAACTGAGAGCTGGTCTTGATGTGAAATATTTGGAGTAGTGTCTGCCATAACTGAATAAATATCTGCTCGTTTTATTTCGGCAATAAATTTTCTTTTTACTTCAGCACATAACAAGTCCACAAACTTATTTTGTGAGTCATGAGAAAGATAAGTGATATTTTTGGAATGCTCTCTCGTCAAACCATTTTTATATTGCAAAATTATGTCTTGGTAACAACAAAAGAATTTGTTTAAATTGCTATTTTCTTCATTTTCATTCCCCCTAAAAGCTTAGCCCTTAAAAGCTTAGCCCTGCCTGGCAAGGGTACAAGTTACATCAAACAATATAGTTATAACTTCTTTGTGAAACTGTTTATGGTATGTTTCTTGAATTTTTATTTCTCTGTTATGCCTATTTATAATGCAATCAATATGGTTAGAACTATTTAAAAAATTGCTAAAATTAAGTAACACTAACTTATGCGTATTTGACGAAAAGTGCTGAAGAAGCTTACAAGATTTCTTGTAACCTCTACCTTTCATTTTATGCCAAGCACGAAAACCTGTTTCTGCCCAAACAGGCTCAATACAGGTTCTGTTTGGACCATTTGAAACAAAGAACAAATAAAAAAAAGTAGCATCTTTGATTAAACTATATTCTAAGTGTGATTACTCTTTATACTACAAGGAACTAAACTGACGTTGCTTTTCATGCAAAATATTTGTGTTATTCTGAAATTTAGCTAATATAGGTTGATTTAGACCCAAACCTAATAGAGACTTCTTTTGAGATTAAGATTTTACAATAGTTTGTTTACCAGGATTATGCTCAAGAAAAAAATTTGCATTCTCTTTATTTTCCTCATGAGAAAGTGATACTAAATCGTTCAAAAATTGTTTGCTTATAGCTATACATTTTTTAGATTCTTCTTTTATTGAAGAAACTATGTGAGAAGTAAAAACTAAAAATAAAATTGGATTTGGATAACTTTCTGTTTTAAGTTTTGTAAAAAGTAAGGTACATTCCTGGAAAATATTTATAAGTGATTCAAGCATTTTAGCGCAAGTAACCCAATCATAAGCACAATTGTCACCTGCAACCATAAAAAAAATACTATTTAAATATAAAAAAGTACCAACTATATTTTGTTTAATATCAAATCAACTGCCTAATTACGATACAGCAATATATATAAAAAATACTAGAATAAAATATATTATATTATTTATTTATTTTTAACATTTTACATGCTGCACTTTGAAATTTGTTGGCATTTTTTTATTATTTTATAGAATACTATATCAAAGCCAAGTTTTTAAGTTCTTAAATGATAAAAAGCTAACCCAATTTATCACTAATAACATTACATACATACATAACATAAATCTTATCTAAGTTATCATTAATAATCTCAGAATATGTAGCTTCTTTAACAACATTATCAACAGTTCGAATACTTTTAGTGGTCCTTAGGCCTGCCATGTTTGGCTCAACTGAGTTCTAAATATATTTTAAAACATTTTTATAGTAATATGTCGTTGATACCATATTAAAATAAAATTTTATTATTATACATTATAAAATGTTTATGAACTGTACTCATAACTCTTAGTAACATTTAAATTAACTAAATGGTCTATTGTAGGTGAACAGGTTGATTTTAGGGCTGCTAGTAGTAAATTTATATTGTACAGTGTTCACACATACAGTGTTCCTTATTTTCTAAATATAAGAAACACAAAAATAACAAACCTTAATTTTTTAAATTATAATTTATATTTCAAAAATATTATAAATTAAAATTCAAAAAAATTTTTGTTTAAAAATGGTTTTTAAACTAACTCACATATTCTATGTCATATTCTGATTTTGATGATTCCAGTGCATTTTGTAAAGAAGTTGAACATAAGTTTTCCAGGTTTGATGAACTCTAACATGAAGATAAAAAAGCTTTACTTGCCTGTTATCAATTGTTAAAAACAAGCTGTTTTTATTATGCTGTCATATACTTTTTTACTATATTTAAATTTATGATTAACTACCTGTGATATGTTTGTTTCTGTGACAAGATTATTTTTTAAAGTAGCACCAAATGGATTATCAGGGACAACATAATTTTGTTTCTTCTAGTAAATCAAATAATATAGTTTAAAATAAAATCGAAGGTTGCTGTTTGACGATAATAAAATGTGAGAAACTGGGTTTAAAAAGCTATTTTTAAACCCAGTTATTTTAATTTTATTTAGCATTTTTATACTATTTGCAGAATGGAAATTGGAAATTACTAAGATTTTAATGAAATAGAAAAGCCGAGTAAACTACGCTTTAAACAAGAAAATCAATTTTTTTCGTCCATAGTTTAAAAATGGTAAATGTATAATACAATTTTAATTAAAGTTATTGAATAATACAATTTTAATTAAAGTTATCGGTACTACTCAGCAGAACACTGTCAAATCAATTGGTTTACTGGTTCAGGAATCAGAGCTGTTTTATTTAAAAAACATTTAGGTTTTTGCAACTTATACCTGAAAATGTTTCCGATTACTTTTTTATTCGCATACAAATTTTAATATAAAGATTACAATCTTTACTCAATAAAATTTAATCAATAAAAAATCGTTACATTAATACAGTAACGTTAAAAAGTTAAGAATTTCACTCCATTATTATAAAAAATAATAAAAGTTTTATTTTGATATTTGTTTTCTTCTAATTATTAAAATGTTTCTTCATTTAAAGTTTAAATGAAATTTTCCTTTAAGCTTAAGCTAAGCTTAACAGGAAGATATGAATACTGTTTCCAAATACATAAACTAATAAAGATAAAATATCAAATTGTTTATTAAATTAAATATTCAAAAAACATCATGTATATTAATAAAACTTATAAACTACATCATAAAACTTATTTTCTTTGGTACCAGTATGTCATTTTTTCAGTAATTCGACCAATATGTAAGTACTTTGCTAAGTAAAAATGTTTGCTTCATACAGCGAATCAGTGTTTAACAACCTTCTTCATCAGTCAAATTTCAGTGTAAATTTTTTAAAAACATGAAGATAATTTGTTTTAATGGTATAAGGTACCAGCACTACTCCGCAATCATATTGACTTCGCAATCATTTAGACTTCGCAATCATATCGATTTCATATTTAAATAATTTAAATTTTTTTCATCTACTGTTTTTTACACTACTATTTCAATTACCTTCAAACTGTGTTTTTTTCCATAAGATAGGCTTTTATTTTTTTTAATTTTAAGTTTTTCAGGTTTTTAACAAAATCCTCTCCCATTTTGTGAACTTTCTTTGCCTCCTTAACTTTAGTGGCTATATTTAGGTACGTAGTATCAAAAAGCTTATTTCGCTTTAAATTCAAACATTCGTAGATATTTTCTTGGTTTTTAATTATACTTGAATAATCAGCACCCAGAAAATACTTTAAATCGCTCTCTCGCAATACCATACTGTAAGAGCCATCTTTACCTTTGTTAAAACATAGTTATAATAATTAAAACATAGTCATAATAATTAAAACATAGTTATAATAATTAAAACATAGTTATAACAATTAAAACATAGTTATAATAATTAAAACATAGTTATAATAATTAAAACATAGTTATAATAATTAAAACATAGTTATAATAATTAAAACATAGTTTTAATAAATAAAACATAGTTATAATAACTAAACTGTATCTATTTGTGAATGTATGTATTTACATGTGTGTGTATGTTTTTTTCTTTTTTTTCGGATCATGCTCCCAAAAGCCATTACGGTCTTTTCACAGAGCACCGTAGAAGAGCATATAATTTGGATGTTTAGGAGAAGAGCATATAATCAGGATGTTTAGGCCTTCTTCCTTTCTTCCTCCTTCCTGACCAATGTTGCTAATTGTACTAGAACTAGCATTAAACTTGGAACCTATAAGTTCTGAATCTAAAATTTAACCACGGCTGCTAAAGTGTGTTTGCAGATGTGTTTGCAAGTGTCCATGTACATTGTAAGCGGGGCAACCTTATAGCAGGCTATCAAGTTTATTCAAAGACTAGACGTTTTAAGGAGCCCAAAATATAGTCGAAGGTTGACAGTAGTTCAAACCTCTTCCAATAAAAAAAACATATTTGCCCGATCATATTTGAATATGGGGCGTCGTTTTAATTATTTTTTATGTATTCAAGTAAGTTTTAAAAAGCTACCACTCATAATGCTTGCCTTAAAAACACAAGATCCGTGGTTCGAACATTACTTCTGGGCAATTTTTGCGACACCGGTTAAGAAGTAGGCGAAAACTTCCGATTAAATGCTCATCCGCGGTGCTCTAAGAGTAAGGATTTCTTGGAGCACCTAAATAAAAACTAAAAAAAAAAATAATAGATGTAATAATAACAATAAAAATAAATATAAGTAATAATGTATTTATTAATTAAAAATTTAATTATATAGCGCAAAGGTTTGTAGGTATAGAAGTATGCACCAGTATAATTAAAAAAGTAGTATATTTATAAACGTATAGCTTTTGAAGTGATCTACTAAAAAATTATAAAAGAATATGTTTCTAAGTCATAAATATTACTTGATCCATCTTTTTCCGGATAAAATTTAGCCATAAGTTGTAGGTGGGTCAATCTAACCTAATCCTTGGGTCAACCAATCCGGAAAACGAGGTATAGTGACTCACATGAATAGCATAAAAGTAATATCAAACAAAAAAAAATTTTGGACCAACATGCCCAGTTAAAACTTATACAGATAAAAGTAAAGCCCTATTTTAACAAATAGAGACTTAGGGCACTATAGGTACCGAATAAATTTTTAACTAATAAGCTGTGAACATTAGGAACTTTCAACAAGCTCAAAGTAAAATTGAAACAAATGCTACTGATTAGCAATAGAGTACTAAGTTATTGGGAGAATTTAACTTATAACCCTAACCCTAACCCTGACCCTAACCCTGACCCTAACCCTTGGGAGAATTTAACTTATAAAAAGTTTACTTCTAAATCATTTAAGACATTAAGTAGATTTAGCTTCATAAGTAGTTCTTAGGAGTGTGTTAAACGACCTACATGAAATATGGTTCTATCATGGTTTTCATTTTTAAAGACTTCCTTAATTTTACTTTGATTTGTGATAAATTATGTTATTTTACATCATTTAAACGATTTTAAATAAATCAAAATTTCGTTTTTACTTTTTTCAACAAATTTGGTTTGTTTATGGCTTAGTTTTTTAGTTTATAGCCAAAGTTTTATCATTCAAGATAATTTATATAAGCTGTCTACACAAAGTTTCAGTAAGATGGAGGCCTATATATAATTTTATTGTTTTTATGATTTTTTTATTAAACTTTGTTTGAGCAGCTGTTGCTAACTATGGTAGTCTTTTGATTAATTTATTTATAAAATGGGTTCAATGTTGGCAACCAAAACGTATTAAATACAATAAGATTTGGGCAGCGTTAGAAACGACATTTTTATTATAAGGTGGGTGGAAACAAATTATATTACTTTAACTTTTAGGCTGTCTTGATTTTTAAATTTTAATTAAGGTCAAAGCTTTTAAAACCGTCTTGTTTAAGTGCTTCTTGGTACTCTATTTTGATGAGTTAAATACTTTTTCATATTCTGTTGATAGTTAATTCATAATAAAAATATATTTATATGTATATATACATATATATATATATATATATATATATATATATATATATATATATATATATATATATATATATATACATCCCAGCCAACATTGACAGACGGGTACCGTATGGTTTGTGTCTGGGCTTACGGAAACGGGATTTTGACGGGTAAGTGTTTTGGTTTCCAGACGGGTCCATATGGGATATGACATCAAGCATATTTGCTTGATGTCAAAATAACATCAAGCATATTTGCTCGTTAGAGTTTTATCTGGTTTTTATCAGGGCCGAATAACCTGGGGATTTGACGGGTTTCCCATCAGGTTCCCAAAAGGTTTAAACTGATAATTAAAAAAATCATAACAAAACTTACTCGATGGTTGCCATTTTTAATTCGTATTGTGCGTGAAATAAGTTTAAAAATTTAACTTTTATGCATTACATTTTTTGAATACATTATATTTACATTGTAATTGAAAAAAAATTTATTTTTTTGATGTGTTTTGTCACTATAAAACTCAGTTAAAAAGACGTTGTTTTAAAATTTCATTTATTTATTATCATTATAAAAGAATTTTTATATATACATATAAATAAAATGATCAAAATATAAAGTTTTGTTTCTGCTAGTCACTAGCAGAAACAAAACTTTATATTTTGATCATTTTAAAAATGCAAACAGTGCAAACTAGCAGCTAGTGATATAATTAAATAATAAATGGTTTGAGTTTAATCAAAATATTAGTTTAGTCGGAAACATTTAAAAAGAGCAAACAAGCGAATAGAATGTAATGGATAGGTTATATTTAGGGAATTAAAAGCTTTTAAATCGTTTTAACAGATCCACTCTTTTCCATTGATTTTTCTATATTTTATGCAAGCAAAATGACTGATGTTAACGAAGTTTACCCACCGTCAGATATAAATAAAGATATAATTAGATGTTTAAATGCAAAAATATGGCTTTATTGTTATGCATCAACCTCATTTTTTAATCATTGATATTTTTTTATTTTGATTTAAAATTGTACACTTGTAATATTAACAATAATTTCATAATATACATAATAATAACTTATACTCACAATACCTATACTTGTAAATACTTGTAATATAATACTTATGTTTATAATACTGATAAAAATTTTTATTGATATAAACTTTTGCATTCAAACTTTAGTTATAAAACTTTAGTTTAACTTTATAACTTTAACATAAATAATAATAACTAAGAAAAAGATGTTAGTTATTATATAGATTATAACCATATGCTTATTTATTATAATTGAGTTACAGTAAGTTAATCAATATAAAATGTTAAGTTCCAGGTAATAGGTCTTATATGATATGTATCTTATGTATATCTTGTATTTTGCAGCATGTTAAAGAATAATTCTGCATCGTGCACTCTAACTGTTGACAATATTTGCATATTGATATGAGTAAAAGTGACTTCAACAACCAGAATATGTTTATGATAAATATTTATCATAACAGGTTAGTAAATATAATTATAGTAATAATGGTAATAACTTTTTATTATTAGAATTAGTGAGAGACTTATGTATAATAGAGCTACATTAACTTTGGGGGACAAATATAATAACTTGAGTAAATATTATCCTTGTTTATAACCTCGATTAGAGTAATGTAAGTAAATATTATTTTTATCAAAAGAATATTCGGCAAAAGTCAGTATTTCCTAAGTATTAAATATTATAAAAAAAAATGTGTTTAAAAAAAATTTTTAAATATATCATAAAATAAAAAAATAAGTATTTGAGTATTAAAAAAAAATACATTTATTATTATAATGTATATACATCACATTAACTATGTTGTCTATATAGTAGGGGTTACAGCTGACATTTCAGCTTCAGCTATGAACTCATTAGCTTCAGATTAATGCTGAAGCTGATCAAGTCAGTTTAATCATCTTGATTGCTGATAGTAAAAGACAATAATACTCCATAAATATTTTATATAAAATATATATTTATATAGGAATTTATTCAATGAAAATCTAAAATAGTGACAAAATTTAAACATAAATGTAAATTTTAAATAAAATTTGCCAAAAGTTGTTGCTATTTATGAATGTTGCCATCAGAGCCTAGGCCTAGGACTTACAATATTAGGGGACCCAAATTATGTTTTTAGAAATTTGTTTAAAGAGTGGTACCAAAAATCTAATTCCATTTTTAATTATCTTAAGGGGACCAACTATCTTTTGTTCAAAAAGGGTACACTTTGCAAGTATTTCATAGGTAAAAAAAAAAAAGGAAGATAAAACGATAAAAAACTTTATTTTTTTTTAAAAACATATTTTTCGACAGAGTGGATTTTTTTTTCTAAATGAGAAATTTTACTATTTATAAGGGTCCATTTAAAACAATTCAATGCTCTAAAGTTCATTATCCATTCTTCGATATATTTATAGCAAGTTTTATAAAAATTTTTAACTTCTTTTAAAATTTTATTTTTTATTCCGGGATTGGAATCTTCCAAAGCGGTCAGTTTATAGGCTTTAATATAGCCTTTAATATTGTATATAGTAGTGTATGTATATATTTTTTTATTAAAATTTGCCTTTACTTTGTATTTTTATATTTTTCTGCAAAAAAAATTTTCTGTCACTTTATCCTTCTGAACTTATGAGATTAAGTTTTTGTTTTCTCTTACATATTTTCTCACTCATCTCATCCGTTCATTTTTTCTTTTATTTTTTATTTTTCTTAGCGTTACTCCTTTATATTTTTGTGCTAATTCCAACTTTTCTAATATTATTGTTCCTTATAATTCTTTTTTTTATTACTTATATTAATGTATTACATTATT